AATAATTAGTGCTAAAGGTATTCAAATCAATAAAACAACAAGGGTGCCCAAATTTATGCACCTGCCTACTTTTGTTTAAGTAATTATTGCACACTTTCTGTAAATCCTATAAACTTCATTTCACTTCTTAAATATCACTGTGTTTGTTTGCTATATGATATATTTAATTGAAATTGCTGTTCCAAACAACCAATGATCCATAAAGGAAAATCTTGAAAATGATCAGGGGTGCCCAAACTTTTTCATACCACTGTATATGGATGCAGTGAGGGAGGACATGCAGATAGTTGGAGTCAGCGTAGGAGATGCAGAGAACAGGGTGAAATGGAAAACAAAGATGCGTTGTGGCAACCCCTGAAAAAGGGACAAGCCGAAAGGAAAAGAACTAGTGAATAGTAACCAATAAAAAATGCACACAAAGGAGTGAAAGCCTTCAGTCAAGCTGTTCCTTTTTGCCTGTCTGTTTCCTGCTTAATTAGCCCTTCACTGTGATAACACACAAGTCAGCACTTCCAATATTGATTTACGGCAGTGAGCAGGCAAGTGTCACGATGACAGTTTTGACTGTTGTTCCCTGTGTTTCTTCTTCTTGTGTTGTGCACTTGTCTCTGTCTGTGTGGTGGGCGTGGCACATTTCCCTGACTCTGCCTGGATAATCAGCGAAGCACACCTGCCGTTCCTTAGCACCTGTCTTCAATCAACCCATCACATAAAAAACCTGGCCTTTCTCCCACTCGTCGTCAGATCGTTTTGTTCAGCCACCGTGGTCCACCTCCTGCTACCTGCTTGCCTGCTCTCCACCAGCCATATCTGGACAGCCTACACTCTGTACCTCCTCCATCTCATTATCGGACCCTCTCCTTCCCCTTTGTCTCCCACAGCAAAATAAATCCTTGTTTCTCATTTAACGTCGTCTGAGCCTGCATTTGGGTCATTACCGGTTTAAATCATGACAGGAAGAAGCATCACCGTGCCTTTGAGCCAGACTCAGACCAAGCGAGAGAACGCGAGTGCACAACATTCTTTAAAGGTTAGACTGTTTCTGGTGCGGAGGAGTGCAGAAGGAAGGAAAAATCTTTGAAGGTCAGTCTGTGTGTGCTCTTCCTGGGCCTGTTGAGTGTTTATTACTGAGCCCTATTGATTTAGTAATGATGATGACCAAGGTGAAAATGATGATGATGGCAAAAAGCAGACGATAACTCCATAAAAAGGAGGGCGGGAGCTCATCTAAGGTCTATATAATTCCCTGGGGATCTTTGAGCATCATAATTAAGTCACTGAGAAACAACTTTTATATGGCACCTGCAAGACTGACATCAGACTTAAAAGAGTTTGCTCTGAACAGTTGATCCTAAGTACCTAAACTCATGCACCTTCACCACCTCTGCTCCTTGTAGCCTCACTATTTCACTGTTCTCCCTTTCGTTTACACACATGTACTCTGTCTTGCTGCGGCTGACCTTCATTCCTCTTCTTTCTAGTGCAAACCTCCACCTCTCTAGGTTCTCTTC